CCTTGGGGGCAAAAAACGGTGAAAGCTAACGTACGAAATCAGAAGGCAGCACACGGTGTGATCGCGCGACCCTGCCTGTGAGCAATCTCCCAACTCATCTCTGGTTGGAAGAAGTCGCTTGTCCACATGCGGATCTAACCAGAGGTCGACATGACACATGCGCATCCAAATGTCATCAGGAAACTCAACATGAAGGATAGAGTGGGACCTTGTGAGAAGTAACGTGTTGAACAGGCGTTTTCACAAAGTCAACCAAGTCCGGACAAATGACCGGGTACAATGAGGCGTCCGAGAACTCTGAAACTCCTCGTGTACTACGTTATGGTCTTCTACGTATGTCTCGGAACTTGTGACGAAAGTTTCAAGAAGTCAAGGACAGCCGACTCCGCGCCGGCCGATGTTTCCCCGAAGACGGCCGGCGCGGACCTTGCGAACAAACCTGAAGACCCCTCGAAACTCGACGAGGAGAAAAGGCCTCACGGCGCCAACGATAAGCACGTTACGTCGAACCATAACCTCACTTCCGCGGGCGAAATTAATAACGATACGTCGTCAAAGACCATTGTGCCGCCGGCTCAGGTATGTGGAAACGTAGTTGTGTACATACAGACTTTTCTCCGACATAGGCTTCCAATATCATGTTGAATTCATTCGTTCAAAGATCTCTGTCGGTTTTTACATTTGCAACGTCGAGTGAACTGGTCACCTCTGATCTAAAGGCTTGCGTCAAGCCATAAAAATTAATTCTTGAAATAGAAAAATCTGTTATGACGATTTTTTTAAGATATTTTCATTATTCAAATAAACACCAGGATTAAAGGATTTGGTTAAATCGGTAGTACTCAAAAGCTCGCATTTTAGTTCCACTAGTCGAGAACTTCCGGGCAATGGTTTGATAATTATTAATTTAGATGCGGTAGCGTTGCCTGTGCATGTAGGAAAAGTGTTTTCATAGTACGGGCTTATATATTCAAATATTAAAAATAGACTGGGCAATTAAAGAGTGTTTAAATTAGCATTTCTGTTTAAATATTACGTGAATCATTGGCCATCCAGGGGGCCTGCTCTTCAACTTGTAATGACATATCGTTATCGTTATCCCATTGGAATAACATGGGCTAACGATTGTTGCCATTACATTAATTCTCTTTGTTGTGTACTGTGTGTATTAATAAATCCCAGTAATTTTTATTTGGCAGCCAGGTGCTGGACACGCGACATCGTTAAACCCTGGTGCCCTTTGGCGTGGGTTCTATGTTTTCCTTGGACTCAGTGTGCTCGTCATGTCCTACATTATATTCCGTAGCTTTAGGTTTGTAAACACGAAATAATACTACTTGTTATACCATATTTTATGTACATTATGAAAAGTATTCATTTGGGCGATGTCATTAAATAGGATAACTAAGTCACGAGCCCAAATGGTACGAAAATATGGCGTACTTGCACATAGGCAAGACGTGGAAATGCGTCCATTGCCACTAGACGAAGAGGACGACGACGATACAACTGTGTTCGATGCAAGCAACGTATCACCACGAATGGCACAGCATCAAAATTCATAAAAGCAGCTTTATATGCCATTTTGCAGTATTAACAAGTTCCATTGTATCGACAAGCCTTTAAGTATAGGATTCCTTTTCTACTTAAAAGAAAAACAAGTGTATAAAATTGACAGATGTTTGAACGTGATATGGCACTGATCGTGACCACAAAGTATCATAAGGAGCTCCCATGCTACGAGTCTTTCTGGAAAATTCTACCCTCATAAGTTTGTTCGGATTAGCTGTACTTCTGTACTTGAGTGTAACCTATTGCACTACACTTTTCACGAGAAATGCAAAAATGTGGATACATTTTTGCCGACTGTCCCAAATACCGGAAACCTCAAGAAAATTCAAGATGAAGTCGTTCAATTTCCACTATAACTGATTCGATGGAAATTGAAAACCACGAATAATATTTTCAGGTGAGGTTATATATTTACTTTATGCTATACGATACCAGAGGATTCCTGCACTCGCTGCACCTATTTGAGAACGAGTGTGGAAAGTACGATACTTTTGTACCAAAATGTATAATGGTGTAATCGTACTCATAATCCGAACAGTCATTTTTGTCATTACGTCCAGAAATTCGAACGCCAAATTTGACAAAAGTATAAACTAAGTGCAAAAGTACGGTATCCCGAACAAATCTCGTTCTCCCTTGCCAAGTAGTCAACAGTAACATTGGCAATTCTTGCGAGAAAAGTGTTGCAACTTGATTATACATTATGATAGAGCTTACACTATGAGTCAGGTGTAGTACTACATGTGTACAGATATAAACAATCGACTTGTATCACCGGCCTTGTCATTTTTATTTATTAATATTTCTAAGATGTGAAATAATAAATGTCTTGATAGTCAATATTTGCGTATGGATGAAGTATTTTTTAGATGATGTTACAAAAGCTATTTGTGAACATTTAAGAATGTCGGATTTCTTGCATGAATTGTTAGCGTTACTGTTAACTAACTTGGCAATGAAATATAAGGTTACTTTTATAAGAAAGTGGGAACACATTATGCTACTTCATGATTATGACATACCATGACTTGGTTAACCGTGACATCAACTTTAGGATGTTTCGTTCCAATGCACATCCAGCTATGAGCGATGTCTCTTTCATCAGTCTTAATTTTTCCTCGCGCTCCTAAAAAGCACTCTGTGCCTCCTGCATGGAATGTAGGACAGACTAGATATGCAAAAAACACTTAAATGGCATTGTTGTAATAATTGATAAATGTAGAATGTCTATATTTTACTTAGTTCTATAAATTTAATAAAGATTATCTACAAACTCTAATTTTACATACTTGAATGCCTCAAGTAATACTTTCTGTATTCTGTGGTTCCTGTTCAAAATTATGGTATAAACTATGAATACTGACATTTATAATCGACATCTAACAAGTATGTAATACATTATAAAATTGTTACTTATAAACGGTAATTCCATAACTTATTCTTAAAAAATGATAATATTTATCAATTATTTCATTTGCAATTCTCGTTTAGCGAATGTCCGATGTTATCCTTCTCAGGATAAGTTTAAAAATTATTTACTTAATTTATTACATTTTATATCTGGATTCACCCAAGTGTAAATTAACTAGAATTCATATCATATAAATTCTCGCTCCACCGCGTGAAGAATTACATCAGAAAGGCGCTGTCTACCTTCTTGCGATTTAATGTTAGATAACTTCCACACATCGGCTATGTCAATCCTCTTATCACCAGCGATGACATCTAAATCGAAAGTCTCGTCCAATACACCAAAAGTTACAGATTCCAAGGCAAAAGTAAAACCATGGATAAATTGCTCTTTCACCTGAAATGAATGAGAAAAAGAAATGATTTTAATTCCCTCGCATTCCTTTTTTGTTTACACAAAAATGTATAAAATCATGCTAAAAATGAGTAAAAACATTAGATGTCATAGCAGAAATTCTAAAACTGTTTAATAATTAATTCCATTATCGTCAAATAAAATTAAAATAATTTATTAGCGATTAGCGATTAGCTTACCTCCTGCAGAAAAATACTTGTTGGGTAAATCGTCGCAGGATTTGAGCCAAGCAAGGTAATTGACTTTGTAAGCTCGGCATGATACACTTCTAATAAATCGTCAAAGTGCTCATCCCGCAAATTCTTATCAGTACACGAATAAATGAAGAATGAAATGTCAAGAACGGGACTTGCGCATCGCGCCAGTTGGAAATCCAACATTAGAACCTCTTGCGTGTTCTCTGGAGTCTTTCTTATCAAAAAATTTGGACCCCAAGAATCTCCTTGACTGATTACAGAAGTTGGTGCATCGATTCGTCCGCAGAGCTCTACACTTCGAAGAAAAAGCTGTTCAGACGTGTACTCGTTAAATCGCTTCTCGACTTTACTTCCGGGATATTCTTTATGCACTGCATCTTTGGCAATTCTTACCAACACGCTCTAAAAAGTTAAGAAAAATTGTATCGGAGACATTTTATACAGTATAAACCTTTCTTATCGTAGGATATAAACTTACATGAAATTTCTCATACCAATACCACAGCCGTGAGTGGTAATAAGTTTCGTTTAATTGGTGAGCTATCTCTTTAAACGTATCTGGCTTTTCATTTTTGTACGCAAGAGAAATCGAGTGAAACCTCGCAAGAGCTTCTAAAATGGCTTTACATTCTTCAAAATTCAGACAGCTCTGTCGAGTAATTGCAGTAAAACCCAAAGGACTAACATCCTCAAGCGCAATATAGTCGTTCTGCCCATCTAGATGGGATGCTAAACAGCGAGGCACACATAATAAATAAGCCTGGCCTTTAGATTTGACAAACTTCTCAAACTCTGGGATTATCTGAAATTAATATAGAAGAATCATTATCGAGGAATTTAGGGAACTGCCATAAAATGTACAATATGCCTGCCTTCGTCTTCCTGTTACCTTTTCATAAAAGATGATTTCATTGTAAAAGAATTCTGTGCTCCTGAACGTATTCCTTCTTCCTAAATTTTGTGGCAATGACTTCACGACGAGCTTGACTTCCACTTCCTCGTTCTCTACGATTCCCTTGACAGTGATTCTGTTTACCGTTGATAAGTAGTTATCACCCTTGGTAAATCCTCCTCCAAAGGACCAACCTAATATCCTTGGTCGTGGTTTTCCCGTAGCCTTTTCCAGAATTTCCTCCAAAGTTTTCTCCGTAAATAGCTTATTAACGCTGTCCAACTGCGACGTGTCTTTGTTCATTTTCTCCTGAAACAAAATGAGAATTGGCATTAATTAGTATACACAATTGCAGGTGAAGAAATAAACTGGAGCCACGTGCCAGCAATTTGCGCGCTATAATCTTACATTGTACCTCTGTCTTTCAGGTGACTGATAAGGTTTCATCTAAAATATTAACAGTCTTACTGATTTCTTACGCGAACGGTAATAAGAACCTTTAAAGAAGATAGTAACACAAAAACCCACTTTGAGCGTCAATTGCCTCAATTGAATAAGATGCTTACAGTACTCATACATAGAATCATATTCAAATTAGGCAATCAAAAGCTGCAGTCCCACTGAACGCGTCGAGTGTCACACGAATCGCGGCGCGTCTCCGCGTCGAGGATAAGTCAATCAGCAATACATCGCGTTGACGCGTCGCGCTCTATGTGACACCCGGCGCGCTCAGTGGGACTCCGGCCTTAGGCAGTAAAAGCCTTAAGTGACGACTAACTCCATGAAGAATTTTAATAACTGGATGTTTAATGTATTAAACATTGCCTTATTACCATGTTTAGATATCAGAGAGTCTTTGACTCGACAGTTTCAATAATTTCCAGTATAATTTAGAGCGGTCTATCTCCAACTATACCTCGAACACTCTAGTACTTCAAATTGAATGACTCCTCCGCTTGACGTGGCTTTTATAGTCGTGCTCTCACAAATCATGACATTCCACGTATCAACGTGATTTATCGCTCATGGTAAAATTCCTATTCTCAGGTCCACTACAATTGAAAAACAAATATTGCTATCAGTTTCTACTTAATTGTAATGCTTTCATTATTTAATGTATTACTAACCAATAACACGTATGTGATAGTTTTATTCCAAAAACTATTATTACGCTTTAAACCTGTTTAAACATGTTTAAGCATCTATGCATAATTTTAATTTTGTTATTGCGTTAGATTTTTTTTAAATTTATAAGTAGAGTTATTAATAAAAGAATATTTAGATATGCTTAGTATAATAATGTCGCTCTCATGTTATATTTGTAAAAAATAACGGGTATCCCTGTAAAGCATTATTCGAAACATTATTTGCATTTCAAATCTCAGATTTAAGGTGAAGTGAAACACGTCGAGGAACTTGATCAACGTCGATAAAGAAGATTTTTCTCAATGCCTACGTTGCCGATGTTCGTTTTTACATTGACAGCTGTATCGAATTATATTGGGTATTGTCCCAAATGGCATACTCCACCTGTCGTTTTCGTATAATAATTATAAAGAAATCGAAGTAAAACTCCAGAAATCCTCTGGATTCATGCTTTCTGGGGCCCTAATTGAATGCAGTGGTACCTCCTGCGCCATCTGTGATTTCCAGGTGAATTAAATTTTCACTCCAAGACCTCGTATTAAGCGCATACAACACTTTTTTTGCCTTTATCCCGTTCAAATGCGAGTTTATCGATTACCAGAGTGTTCTAAATTGTCGTAAAATTGTCCTGACCCTTTAGTTTCTCATATCAGAGCCTTCGATAATTGTATACTGATCGAAATATCAGAGCTCGACGCCATTTTGGTTCTGGTCTGGACTGAGTTAAAAAATTCTTTTGAAAAATCCAAATTTTCAATGTGTCAGGACAATTCTTAGATGATCAGGAGTGATGTGCCAAAGTTTCGGACAGTTCGGTCTAGTACTCTTAAAAAAAAGTGTTGTATTCGGATCCACTGATTTGAAGGGGGTTTCACTTCACGTTAAGTCTCCTAATCTCGGAGTAAATTTCTGGATTTGACCATAGACTAAACGGAAGGCGAGAAGCGCCAGACGTTCAGTTTTTAACTTGTATATTAATTTTGTACTCGAGCGCCATTTTGACGTCATCAATTGCGTAATTTAGAAAATGCCACGGATTTGCATATGACAATTTGTATAATAACCAGGGCTGATTAGGTATGATACGTTAGGTAATATACGTGATTTATTTATGTATATATTTCAACGTATAATATCTCCCTAGTTTTCTACGCGCGCGCAAAGTATACCATGTCTTTCTATTTCTAAATAGAAAATAATAAATCCAGTTAGAAGTTTCGATATTGAACAGGGTTAAGTCAAAAGAATTTTAAATGCAACCGCCAAATTATTCTATAAACATTTTTACCTGTTTACATGCGTGTTAAATGACGTTTATAACCTAGCGGATACATATGTATATCGCTCATCTGCGGCATACCGCCATATTGGAAATGTTAAATTTTTAACAATTTTAAGCACAAGCGTCAAATTCATTTATTATTCCTTAAAAATATTTACGCGTTTACACGTGTTTTAAAAGACGTTTATAATCTAGCGGATGCCGTATATCGTACATTTGTGGCAATCTGTATATTAGAAACGTAATTTACTGGGTTTTTATTATTTTCTATGGTAAATTACTTGGTTTACGTAATATACATCAAAATGCGCAATTACCAATCTTGATAATAACACTTCAAGTTATGCAGATATGCAAAGATAAGGCCAATATTTCATTGGAGCTTAAGCGACAAGCCACAGAGCGACGAAGCGAGAATAAGAAGCTCTGATTGGCTTCAGAGAACATACGGCAGAAGTTGCTGTTCTTCTGTAGTTAATCAAATCCTTTCATTCGTGCACGTCATTTCGTCGCTCGCCGCTGTGGCGCTAATATAAATTGATCTGAGTTAAGCCCGGTTCTACAACCTGAATTAACCGAAGTTTAAGTGGTTTACGGCAGGTTTAAACTGGGGGTAAACCAGTTAAACTTCGGTTAACTCGAGTTTTTTTTTAATACGATGGAGACTTGCGATTTATTGGATCCGGACCTGATAAATCCCGGATTTAGAAGTGCGATGGAGACGTGGTTAATACGATGGAAACATGCGATTTACTTAATCCGGACCCGATAAATCTCGGATTTAGGAGTGTAACAAACACGTGGTCAATGACTACGTCTCCATTGAACTCGAGATCCAGGATTTATCGAATCCGGACCCAGTAAATCTCAGTTTAAGTGACAATCGAGACGCTCAGCATTGAATATGCGCATTTTTTCAATACGATGGAAACATGCGATTTACTTAATCCGGACCCGATAAATCCCGGATTTAGGAAGTGCAACAAACACGTGGTCAATGACTACGTCTCCATCGAACTCGAAATCCAGGATTTATCGAGTCCGGACCCAGTAAATCCGAGTTTAAGGGTCGATCGAGACGCACATGATCGAATATGCGTATTTATTAATGCAATGGAGACATGCGATTTTCTGAATCCGTTTCCGATAAATCCCGGATTTAGGAGTGCAACAAAAACGAGGTCAGTAACTACGTTTCCATCGTTATCCTGCATTGATCGGGTCGAAACCCAGTAAATCCGAGTTTAAGGATCGATCGAGACGCTCATGATCGAATCTGCGTATTTATTAATACGACGGAGACATGCGATTTACTGACTCCGGACCCAATTAATCCCGGATCGAGGAGGGCGATGGAGACGTACCGACGTCAATGTACGCGCACGTTTGTACCGTCCAAAAGAAAAGTTTAGAATCATTCGCAGTGGACATCGCGCAGCGGAAGGGCCAAACTTAATTTGCAACCAGACAAGACTAAAGCGAGCTACCGGCTCGCGTTGCCGTTTCCTACATATCTCGGTAAATATACCGGCCTGAAAACATAATCCACTCTCGCTGTACATTCAAAGACGGTCGAGACCGGTGGGTCCAGTTTGCGTCGAGTCCCCTCGACGAAACGACGGTTGAACCTTCCCCCGTGGCGCCCCTAGCGGGCATCGGGAGAGGCTCGGGCGGCGGCGGGGCCTTGTCGGTGGCGCCCCCCCGCGGGAGCGGCGGCCGCCGGGGTCGCCGAGTCGGTAGTAGTCGGTAGTCGGGCGTCGCGAGGGTGTGGGTGCGGGCCGAGTCTCCCCTTGAGCGCGCAGGAGTTCTGTTTTCCCTGCATTCCGCGTCACTCGTTGGCGACAGCGGCACCGGCACCGGCGACGGTCTCGCGCGAGTCGGCCGGCGCGCGCGCGAGCTAGACGACGCGTCGCTGCGGCGGCGTCGCCCAGGGGTCCGCGCCGCGCGGAGAGGCGGCACCGAGGGCCCGAGTCCCGCGGTACGTTCGGCAAATGACAACCGTCCCGGGGATCGATGTGGCTGAAACATGGCTGAGGAGCTGCTGGTCACCTTGCGCCGGAGCGACTCCTCGGGGTTCGGGTTCTCCCTCCTGGGGATCGCGGGCTTGCCGCACGTCATCTACGACATCGTCGAGAACTCGCCGGCGGCCGACAGCGGCAAGGTAAGGAACGACCCCGGCCCGGGCGGCGCTCCGTTTCGCGGAGGGAGAGAGAGGGTCCGACCGGCCGAGCCCGCGAGAGCGAGAGAGAGGTATCCGAATTACGCGTATCGACCCGCATTATCTCCAACCACCCTGGGCGAACTCGCCCCCGGCGGTTCTAGCCGCTTCCTCTTTGCTCCCTTTTCCCCCCTCCCCCTCCCCGTGCCCATCGTCCTTCGTCCTTTGGCTCGACCGCGGATTCCGATTGGCTGGGCGGGATCGGCCGCATTCCTCGCCGCCCGACTCGCCGCTGCGGAACCGATAACCGGCAACGACCGGCCGGCTCGATTTCGCGTCTCGCCCGGTCTCTGGTCCCTCTGGGGAAAACGAGAAATCCCTAGACCCTAGGTATACGGGGAACGGTCTCCAGCGCGACTCGAACACCGTGCCCGAAAAACGGTCTCGGGCTTTCTCGGTTTTCTCCCCTTTCGCGAGAGCGCTCGATCCTACCGCTGAATGTCTTACCTAGGTTTATTGACCCAATTTCAAAGCTTCGCGGGGGAAACGCGAAATCCCTAGACCAAAGTCGGGGGGGAACGTGTTTTGAGCTAGGGCGGACCGTGGACGTGAACTGTGCTAATACGCTTATGACGGCTTGAAATTGCACCTCGTTTATGGTGCCGACGAAGAATTGCGGAAAACTGCGCGACGCCATGCGGATATTAAAATTAATGTTTCAGAGATCCTGATGGTGTTACCGTTAGCGTACCGTTAAATGATATTGAGAAATTCATCTCTTTCAAATGGAACGTGGATCAGAGATATCCCGAAATGTGCTTTTTGCTGTTTGCGTGACCAGGAGTTCGTTCTCTAGTAACGTGGATGCAGCCATGCAGGATATTTTAACCTAAAATGGACTCAAACGTGGTAGAAATTTACCCATCTCTCCTCGAGTCGTTCCTTCTCTCCTTATATATCGTTTTGTCTTTCACGCGTCGTCGTTAGTCAACAAATCTCTTGTCGAGTGGTCTCACGTAGAATAT